CTCTCCTCTCTTTGCATTTTCATTTTTGTATCTGCTTTTGTTTTAATGGAAGGCTAAAATCCCTGGGGTTGGCTTCTTATTATGGATTGTAATCTCTGTTTGAGGTTGGGTATGTTTGTATATCTCTGTTCTACTTGGTCATTTCTCATTTAACCTCTGTATCAATGTGTCCATGCTTAATGGGTTGTGCTCAATGCCACAGTTGCTTAATCTGTGAAGAGGTTGATGTTGTATACGTTTGCTTAATTCGGGTAGGGAAATCTTGAGTAATCTTTGCTTAGTTGGTTAACTCGGATGGAACAAGGATTAAGTGGTTGACAGAGTAATCTCATTGTGAACCAAGGATAAGAGAGTTACAATCCGAACAAGGAGCCAATCTATTTTACTTGCTGTGTTATCTGCATTTTATTGTATTATAAACTGAAAAATCTGAACCAAACCCCCCCAACTTCGTGTTTAAGCCTTTGACAGAGAAAAATGGTCCTTGGGAGACGACCTAGGACAACTTCCTAGTACTACAAATTTCGTATTTTATTTGATCGGGTACGACACCGATCAATTTCCGAGCTCCAACAACCCAAGCTCCACACCTACTCCATAGGATTCTCAGCACCAAATTGCTTTGAATCTCCTTCAACTACAAAGTCTCAAAGAAGAAGAAAATAGTCTTCGAACATAAATCTTCCCTTAAGAATCTGAGAAGAAGAAAGAGAAGTGTTTAGGTCTTCAAAGTTCATTTCCTCTCTATGTCATATCTTACATATATTATATTTAAAATTTGTTTACATTAATATTTTTTAACATATAAATTATATTTTATATTTAAAAATATAAATTATATTAATGTTTAAAAATATTAATGTAATTTAAATATAATATATGTAAGATATGAGGTAGAGAGGAAATGAACTTTGAATACCTAAACACTTCTCTTTCTTCTTCTCAGATTCTTAAGGGAAGATTTATGTTCAAAGACTATTTTCTTCTTTTTTGAGACTTTCTAGCTGAAGGAGATTCAAAGCAATTTGGTGCTGAGAATCCCATGGAGTAGGTGTGGAGCTTGGGTTGTTGGAGCTCGGAAATCATTTCCTTCTCTTTCTCTTCTTCTACCTTAGAGTAGCTCAGAGTTCTTCCCTTATTTCACTCCATTCCGAGGTAAAGGAAGCTAGAATCTTGGGTTTTAGTTGAAATTTGGGTTGTTGAATAAATAAAGAATGCAATGTTGATAGAATTTTGGAAATTCACAACTTTGGGGATGGATTCAAAGTAGGTTTCATGTTGAAATTGAGGTTTTGATGTTCTTGATGAGAGGTAAAAAAAAGTTGATTTCTTTGAGTTGTGGTTGATGCTTGTTGATTTTTCTTTGATTTTTGAGTTGTATGTTGTGAAAATTGGAAGGTTTGAGGTTGCAGGTATAGTTATTGCATAAGTTATGAGAAATTGAAAATTTGGGATGTTTTTCATTGATGTTGAAAATCTAAGTTATAGGACTGAGCGTGAGAATTAGGAAGTGCCTCTAGAAGTTCGAGGCTTAGTGTGAGATTATGCACTAAGTATGAGGGAGGCTGAGCATGAGAGTTGAGATGTACCTTTAGAACGCAGAGGCTTAGTGTGAGATTTTGCGCTGAACATGGGGACTTAGTCAAATAAATTTCTTTCCTAATTGAGTTGGTTGTGTGCTTGATGAATGAGTTGTATGTTGAAAGCTTGTTGTTTGAGTCGTTTTATGGTAAAATGATGATGAATAAGTTGTAGGGATGTTATCGTATGATAAGGAGCTTTATATGTAGAGTTGATAAGTTGTATGTTGGTGATTATGCTGTGAGTTGCTAGTTGAAAGTTAAGTCAAGTAGTATGTTGTGTAGTTGTGTACCTATTGGGATTTTATATGCATAATGTTGATGGGCTGTTGAGATGTATGATGATTAAGAAGTTGAATATAAGTAGTGATGATTGAGTTGTGAGATGTGGAGTTGTATGCTGATTTTGTTCGTGATGAATATGTAAAAAGTTGTTGAGTTATGATGACCACTTAAGACTAGAAGATAGATTTTCGAAAGTTGCATATCTCATTTTGTGGATAATGTGTTGTGGTGTTCCAAGAGTCCAATTTGTTGAAAACCCCTTCTTAAGAAGTTGACCCTTGAAGTGAAGAACTATTAAGTCTCCTCTAGAACTTAGTTGGTATCGTGTGTGGGTTGGGTCTAGGCACACATGTACAAAGCAAGAAAATGAGTAAAGTACAAAGTTGGGAACTTAGTTCCTAACCGAGTATCGGAAGGGCATAGTACATGGAGGATAGTCGGTGAGCTAATTTCATAGGTAAATTGGTTAAGCTAGTTAATGTCATTGTAGGCCCAAAACATAGTTGTTCTACCTTGACAGTGGTATTAGGCTTCCTTATTTAAGTGGTGACATTTGAAAAATCAAGTTGTTGTGTTATGGATTTATATCCAAAATTTTTTATCTAACAAGCCCAAAAAGATCACCTTATGTTGTCGATTCGGTTGAGTCAAGCGTTTTAAATTGATCACCATGTGTTGTAGCAGATATCTTAATTGAAATGCATGACGATGCATGAAATTATTGTGTTTAAGATACTGCGTAGCTGAGATGATTAACCTATGTTAAGAATGTCATGATGTTGAGTCGATATTATATTGTGGTAAACTGAGTTGTTGTGCTGATATGTATTGTATACTGTGATGTCTTATGTTAGCGATGTTGGAGGTGAGATGATGTATTAAAAGTGTTGATGTTCCTATTTGTGTGTGTGTGCGTGTGTATATATATATATGTGTGTGTGTGTGTGTGTGTGTGTTGTTTCTTTTTACTCTAACTTACCCTTACATGTTTTTATATGGTTAAGACTATGATGATCATATGTGATATGAGAGCAGGGTAGGGATAGGACAGGAGTGGAGGTCATACAATAGCATTAGAGCTGAATTTTTTTTTATGACTACCTATTGGTGGTAGATTTGTATAAATAGTTATAGTTACTTGACTAACAAGTTAGTTGTATATTTACATTTACAAGATTACTATATGTATATTGCATATATTTGTGTAGTTGTTTCATCCTTATATGTTTAGGATATATTATATATTCTAGTATTTGTAAATATATGATCTTAAGTTAATTATTTTTTATTGCTAGTAATTGTATCGTTTACTATAGGGATCATGACAGATCATTATATATATATATATATATATAAGTTTACTTATTTTAA